CTCAAGTTAGGGGAACTGCAGAGAAGCCCTGAACAGGAATAACGCAGGCAGGAATTTCAGTCTTTGAGTAGCCCAGCTTTGTTGATTGGGCTATGTCTTTGTGCATATTCCTTCTAGACAGCCCACAGACTGCTTTCCCTTGGGAGAGGGCCTTATTCTTCACTACTTAGCTGCCCCCAGGGGATGGGTGACTACAGATGACCCCTAAAATTTAGGGTGGCCTCCCTTTGAGAACCTGAAGTTAGCCATTTAATTGTGATGCCCTCAGAAGCCTCACTTCACTAGAAGCCCATGCTTGCAATTGACCTTGCCTGCTCCTCCCTGTACTCAGCTCAAACACCCCTGGCTTTGGGACGCCTCTCCACCTCATTAGTCATTCCCTTCTCTACTCCATCATGTCTAAACATGGAGTATGGTAGTTATTGATGTCCAGAACTGGTTCCCTAACTAGATTGCCAGCTAGCCAGAGTAGGGGGTGTCTATGATTCACATTTGTATCATCATCACCACCACTTGATGGGCCATCACTACATGTTTGCTGAGTGAATAACACAATGAGGATTTTCAGCACTTAGTTGTGGAGCCCAATCTCCTCTAGGGAGGGCCAGGGGACTCTATACACAAATCAGGTCAACTGGGCCTGGGGTGCTATATTATTTACTTGTTGATTTTTTGAAAAGATTTCTTTATTTATGCATACAAGAACTGGGGTATAAGCCAGAGGTGTGGGAGTGGGGTGAAAGGATTCACCAGAGACAGAGTGGGGAGCAGAACAGGCAGATGTATTGAAATACACTGCTGAGGGGAGAAGTGGGTGAGCCAGGAGAGGTCTGCCATGCCATGTGGGTTAGCTCCCTGGCTGGCAGGGGGATGGAACTCATGCTGCAGTGGCTGTAGGTAGCTTCACAGTGCTGCGACTTAATCCTTGCACCACCAAGGAGGCCCATTACTTGTTGATTTTTAAAGTAAAAATTTGTTGTCATTATTTTAAATTTTTTTTTTAAGATTTATTTATCTCTGCATACAGGAGCTGGTGGGTACAGGCCAGAGGTGCAGGGGGGTGAGAGGATTCACCAGAGACAGAGTAGGGAACAGAACAGGCAGACTGAAATACTCTGCTGAGGGGAACAGCAGGTGAGACAGGAGAGGTCTGCCTCTCCATGTGGGCTCTCCCTGGCTACCCGGGGATTGAACATGTGCTGCAGAGGCTGCGGATTGCTTCATAGTGCTGCGCTTAACCCCTTGTGCCACCAGGGAGGCCCCAAAATTTGTTGTTTTTAAAGTAATAGTTTTGTAATTAAAAATGATGTACACTGAAAAACATTTTAAAAATAATATGTGGGCCTCCCTGGTGGCACAGGTGGTTGAGCGCAGTGCTGTGAAGCGGTCCACAGCCTCTGCAGTGCTGGTTTGATTCCCGCCGGCCATGGAGCAGACCTCTCCTATCTCGCCCGCTGACCCCCTCAGCTGGATATTTCAGTCAGCCTGCCTGTTCTGTTCCCCGCTCTGTCTCTGTTGAATCCTCTCACCCTCCTGCACATCTGGCCTGTACCCGGTTCTTGTATAAATAAAATAAATTTAAAAAAAATGTAAAGTTAAATGTTAAAAATTCCTCTTACTCTCCCTACAGTACACTCCCCATAGGCAACTACCAGTAAATTTTAAGAAAAATTTAATAGTTCATTGATATATAGTTTATATGTAAATACTATTTGCCCATTTAAAGTATATAATTCAGTGTTATTTTTTAGCTTATTCACAGGGTTGTACAACCCTTACCACAATCCAATTTTAGGGCATTTTTTTGTCTCCCCCCAAAAAAAACTCAGTATCCATTAGTTTTCATTTATCATGGTGGTCCCCCACCCCTACCCAACTCAGAGCAACTGTTATTCCTCTTCCTATCTCTATAAATTTGCCTGTTCTTGGAAATTTCCTATAAATGAAATCATGTAATACGTGGCCTTTTGTATCTGGTTTCTTAGTTCCTGTATTTGTTCAGATTGCCTGAATTTGAATCCCTGCCAGACAAGTTCTTAGATGAGAGATCTGGGGTAATTCAGAATCTCTTCAGTTATATCTCAGTTTTCTCAGTTGTAAAATTTGAATAGTAATGGAATCTACTATAGAGTGTTGTGGTTGTACCGTCATAGTAATTAATATTTGCTTAGCCTTGAATATGGGCCAGTACTTCATAAAGATTTCCTAATAGACCTATTGAGGAACCTAATAGTTCCTATTGAGGAACTGAGTTTAGGAGAGATTAAGTAATCAGATCCCCAATGTCCAAAAGCCTCTAAGAAAATGATGGAGGTAGGGGCCTCCCTGGTAGCACAAGGGGTTAAGCGTCAGCAGTATGAAGCAATCTGCAGCCACTGCAGCATGAGTTCAATTCCCTCAGCAGTATATTCAGTAGATCTGCCAGTTCTGCTCCCCATTCTGCCTGGGTGAATCCTCTCACCTCCTGCACTTCTGGCCTGTATCCCAGTTCTTGAATGCATAAATAAATAAATCTTAAAAAAAAAAAAGTGATGGAGGTAAATGGAATAGTAAGTGGTCTGACAGCAAAATCTGTATCATTAACCATCACTATCATGGAATAACAAGATACTCTACTGTAAATATAGTAAATAACTGATAGAACTATTTAAAAAAGCAGGAAAATTAGCAATTGACTCATCTAAAGACCACTACCACTATTAATATTTTGGTATATTTCCTTCCATGGTTTAAGAAATATTTCAAGCATATCTAAAAATCCAGGAGATAACAGATAGCATGGTATTCATCTTCCCAAAAGATGTTAGGTAAGCTTTTCCCAGGATGTCCAGAGTGAGCCTTTTCCAATACATGTCACCTTGTTTAGGGAATTGTTACAATTACTTATATAATGTAGATTTCCTAGATTTAGGGAATGTCTCCAGAAATCTATCTTAAGACAGGATATACATCCAGAGGCATATGAACTCCCTCCTACCCTCTCCTTGGCATCCAGGTCACTTACCTTGGGTTTATATCCCTTTCTTGTAGCTCCTCTCTGTACACATTAAGTTGATTTTTCCTTTGATAACCTGTCTGATACTGTTTTGATTACTTGTTCAATCTGAGAACCCAGACAGGTGGGGGATTTTTCCATGTGACCACATAACTTCTACTTTACACCTGTTTTTTAAAAGACATAAAAATGTAATAGATTTAGGAGGTTTTATCTCTCACACCCTTAGATATTCTTTCCTTATGCAATACTTGTTCTTAGATTAATAGGGTCACACCACATCATTTCATATCTTTTAAAAATCCTATCATTTTATATCTTTTAAAAAATCTAGTATACCACATAATATTGCAGTATACTCATAATATTGCACCACTGCATGTGTTATATTGTATGGCAGAAACATGATTTATCAAGTCCTTGTTGTTGGTCATGTAGGCTGTTTCCAAGAAAAAACATTGCTACACATTCATCTTTCTTCAAACATTCCCCCTGAGTAGATTACTAATAGGCAGGAAGGTCTTAAACTCTATATGCTCTTTGTGTGTGTGTGTGTGCCAAACAGCTGTCAAGGAAGAATGGAACAGGGAGAAGGGAGACTAAGATTTTTTCACCTTTTAAAATGTTTTATTCAGTACAATTGTTAAAATTCATCCATGTGTAGATCTAACTGACTTTTATTCATGAACTGGGAAGCATTCTAACGTGCTTTGAGTTACAGTACAAAATGGAAGGTTTTTATAGGCACAAACGGTGGACACAGAGGCTATTAATAAAAGAAAAGATTATTGGGGGTGCTGGGAATGGCGGGGGTCTTACAAGGCAGTACTCATCAGATCAATACTTACTACTACCTTACTAGTATTGATCAGAAGGTTCCAGATGGATTGCTTTAAAACTTCACTCCTGAGAGAGGCTAAAGCTGCGATTATGTTACAAATTAAATCTTGGTGGTTTTCAGTATCAATGACTCCATGTTGGGCATGTCGTCTCTTTTTGAAAGAACATACTGAAGCCAGTGTGTGCTGTTAATTTAGCTCTTGAACCACCACAGGCTCTTGTCCCATGAAACCATAAAAAGGAATTCACAGACTTTTTAGACAAGTAAGCAGAGAGAAGCAAACTTTATTCAGGAAAGAAAGAAAAAGTTTATTTCGAGGAAAAAGAACAAAAGCAAAGACTCCAAGGCAGCATTGCCAAGGAGAGGGGAGCAAAAGACCCCGTTATGGGCCCGCGTCTAGGGGATATTTAAACCCTTTTTTCCCTACTCTAAAATGTCATCATCCTATTTTGTGATTGGCTCTTCCTCCTGATGGCTATACTCCTCCGGGCAGATGCGCCCATTTTTCCAGCTCTTATCTTAGAATTTCTTTTTTTACCTCCCCTGCCCAAGGTCTTCTAAAATTTACTGTCCCAATTAGCCTCAAATTTTAGCCTTAAAATTTACTACCCTCATCAGCTCTCCTGAATTTCTGTGCCCTTACCTCAGAAGCCTCTTTCAACTCTCCTGAAGTCCCTGCCTGAGTTGTCCCCGAAACAGCCTAAGTAACCCTAACTTGCCCTTGGTCTCAATATATACAGAATAGTGCACAAAAGTGCACAGTTAACTGAATTTTCAGAAACTGAACACACCGGAGCCCCCCAGATCTTGAAATATCAATAGACTATCTCCATTAGCCCAGAAGCCACTTTGCCCCTTGGCATCATTAATAAAAGAAAAGATTATTGGGGGTGCTGGGAATGGCAGGGGTCTTACAAGGCAGTACTTACCAGATCAATACTTACTACTTACTACCTTACTAGTATTGATCAGAAGGTTCCAGATGGATTGGTTTAAAACGTCACTCCTGAGAGAGGCTAAAGCTGCGATTATGTTACAAATTAAATCTTGAGCAGTCTGATGTCTGGTTGGGCGAAAAACACCTGAGCCTGCCCACCGGGGAAGCCCCTAAGCGGAGGTCCCAGCTGGTCCGCCAGGTTCCCGGCGTGCAGCGCGGCGATCCCGGCATGCATTGCGGCGCGGGGCTGGCGACCGGGCGCTCGTTTCAGACGCGTGAGAAGCTCGTCGCCGCTCTGCCACCGTCTACGAGGCGAGGACGACATGGAAGTGTAAGTTAGCACAGGGGTCGATCTGGGCTGTGGGCCAGGGTCCAGCTGCGGCTCCTCGAGCGCCGGGAGCCGAGAGATGTGGACGTGGGGCGCCCTATCGCAAGGCGTGTCGGGTAGGCGCCGGCCCGGACGGGGAGGGCTGGGGTCTCCCAGGGGTGAGGCGGAGAGGGGCTCGCGCTCACCCCGGTGGGCAGGACGGAGGCCAGTGCCGCTGGGCGTGTGCCCGCACCCTTCCTCATTCATTTAGTAGCTAATCTGGGTCTCACTCCCGGCCCGGAGCGAACTTAGAAGATGGAAAACCCCGAGTCGGTCTTGGAATCTGTGGGATAGCTTCGCCGAGGGGCCCTGGACTGCTCGCTGGGAACCCTATTTCCGAGCAAGTGTCCGAGTTTGATAAGGAGCAGTGAGCCATGTATGGGAAGGGGCGGCTTTCTAGGGTGAAGACAGGGCCACGGGTCAGTGTCTGTCTGTCTGTTTTCTTTCTGCTCATTATATCGCGTGCAAAAGGAAGTGTTTGCAGCTAGTCTGCATGTGGGCTTTTACGTGGTGACATTACCTGTAGGCATACCTGCTTTGTGCTTTGCCACCGATTATGTAATGCTTACATTTTTCTTTATGTTCTTTTGCCCCATGTTTAATGACTCTGTACACCAAGTCCTCTCATTGTCCATAGGTTCTGGGAAACTGCGAGTTTGCAAACGACTAATTCCAAAGTAGATTTTCAGGAATGTGATTTCCTCAACTTCAGATGGGGTGGTTTTTATCGCATCGAGGTTATAAAGAAATTGTTATGAATGAAAAGATTTTATTTGAAAACCTGCTGTGCTGTTTTTCAGACTGTTTTTTTTTGTTTGTTTTTGTTTTTTTTTGCTGCAGAGTTTTATTGTTTCCATATGGTCTAAGGCCTCCAGGGTGGTTAAAAACTGATTACTGGCTGCTGTGAGAGGCTCAGGCAGAAACTGGGACACCAGGGCCATGCAGAGGGGCCTAGTTAGTGCTTGAGGTGAACCTTTGAACAGTTATTTGCCCAGCCTAGCCTGGCGGCCTGCCAGCTTGTATAGAGGTTAGTCAGGTGGTCCCCCATCTTAATGAGTTTCACCTCCTTATCTAGGAAGTGGCTCTTCAGGAAGTCATAGAGGTGGGGGTCTGGGAGAGCAGAAACCAGGGCATGCAGATCCAAAAGGACCTGGTTCAGGTTCTTCTCCAAGACCATGAAGGCTTCCATGGTGGACAGGATTTTATCCCATTCCTCTTGGGATGGCTTCTGCATATGGGGGAAGAAGAGGGCCAAGCTACTATGTTGGTTTTGCATCTTCAAAAGACACTTGGTATCCTTGCACTTCTCTTTGGCCATCTCACAGAAGTGACTCACACCCCCCAGAGCCATATTTTTGTGGTTGAAATAGAAACCCAGAAAGATATTGGTATGGGAGGCCCATAGGTGCAGGTTGACCATCTCGGCCTCAGTGGGATAAATCTGGCAAGTGTGGGAGCTCATGGTTGATGGGCAGTAATACAGAAAGCTCAAAAAATGTTTTAATCCTGGGGTGGAAGATAGTGGAGAAGATGATTCTGCTGATTGCAAGTGGAAAAGAGTTGAGAGGGTGATTTGAGCCTGTAAGAAAGGGCATTTGGGGCTCTGTTCTATTCAAACTGTTGAGGCAAAGGACAAATCCAGGGAACCATCTGACACACTGACGCAGATTTTTTTTTTTTTAGCACATTATGTATATGTAACTGAAATGAAAGCTTCATAAAATAGTACTTACTGCTACTGTATGTAGTATGCTTTGGTAGTCTTTATTAGAAATGAATGTTGACTACTAAATTCATTTTGCAATCTACTAGTGAGGTTTAAGCTGAAACTTGAAAAAGCATTCATATATCTCTCTAAACCAAGACATTGTTATCAAATTTTTCCTCCTCACTAGAGCATTTCCTGTCAGTTTACAAACCTGCTTTAATTTATCCGTTTGAAAGAACCCCTTTTTCCCACATTTAATTAATTATGTCAATTGTTCATTTCTGTCACAACAAAACTAGTTAGAAGCATTGTTTATGCCTTCATTCTCTCCAGCTTTCAAACTCACTGGTGTACCGAAATGGGTTGTGTGAAGATACCAGAATCCTCCATTTTGTGAATTCCAAGGGTTTTTTGGGCTCAGCAGATTTCTATGCCAGTAGCAATTGACATAGAAATCCTAGAAATTCTCCTGGCTTAGTATCATGCTCTCCTGGACTTCCTCCTACCTCAAGGACTACTTCCAGTTTCCTTTCCTAGCTCACCCATCCTTCCCTGTTTGGCTTCCAAATGTTGAGGTTGTTGACCTAAAAATGAAACAACTGGTTATTTTACCAGTAAAATTGGCTTATTTAGGAATAGCAGAAGAATTGCAATTCAGAACAAACTATAGCAAAACTATTGCAAAAAACTATAGCATATATATATGTATTATGCAAGTTCAAGATGTAGAGAGGAGAGGAAAGTTATTTTGTGGAGAAAAAGGAGAAAATAGGTTGGGGTTGTTTTCATGGAAAACAAGGGTTCAGGGTGATGATGGTCTTCCATTAGCTGAGTTGCTGGGAAAGGAAGTCTAGCGTGGATTTCTCTTCCTTTTGGGACATGTAATAAGTGATTTTTCCTGTTGATGTCTGTAATTGATCATTCCTTTTATGCCTGTAACTGACATTGAGTGGTAGTGAGAACTCCCATTCTATTTCGTTTTTTTTTAAAAAGATTTATTTATACAAGAACTGGGGTACAGGTCAGAGGCGTTGGAGGGTGAGAGAATCCATCAGAGAGAGCAGGGAGCAGAACAGGGAGATGGAGTGAGGACACTGCTGAGGGGAGCAGCGGGCAAGGCAGGAGAGGTCTGCCACGCCACAGGCCAGGGTTTCTCCCTGGCCTGCCGGGAATCAAACCCGCTCTGTGGAGGCTGCGCACAGCTTCATAGCGCAGTGCTCAACCCGCTGTGCAACCGGGGAGGCCCACCCACTCTATTTTAAATGAGGTTTTCTTGTATATAGTGATTTTTTTTAATGCAGTTTTATGATATTATGATAGGGATATTTTGCTGATGTATATGCCGATGATTCCCAAAAGTGTATTTTTAGTCCTTTATCCAGTTACTTAGGCCAAAATTCTAACCTTCCTACCTCATCCCAATGCCCTGTCATCCCCACCTTTAGGATGTTTTGAATGCAGTTACTTTTCACCATCTCCATTGCTAACATGGGGGTCCATCATCTTGAGGCCCTTGGCTTCACTCTTGAGGCCCCCTCCATTCTGTTCTCACAGCAGCCAGCATGATCTAAAAATATTTGGATCAAGCCACCCCCACATCTAAAACCCTTCATTGACTGCTATCTATTGTACTTAGAGGAAAATCCACATTCCTTTCTAGGGTGTATAAAAACCCTTTATAACCTTTCCTACTCTTTCACCTTATCTTACCTCAGGACCTGTGCAATGCTATTCCCTCTACTTGATATGCTTCCCTCCCTGTCTTCCCTGCTTTTTTTTTTTTTTTTTTTTTTTAAGATTTATTTATTTATTTATACAAGCACTGGGTACAGTCAGAAGCGCGGGAGGGTGAGAGAATTCACCAGAGCCAGAGCGGGGAGCAGAGCAGGCAGAAGGACCGAAGTACACTGCTGAGGGGAGCAGAGGGCGGCAGGAGAGGTCTGCGCGCCCTGTGGGAGCAGCCAGGGATCAAATTGGCGCTGCAGAGGCTGTGGGGCAGCTTCACAACCCAGTGCTCAACCGCTGCGCCACCAGGGGAGGCCCCCTGCTCCCTTCTTAACCCTGTCCTGCAGCCTGAAGGATAGCTTTTTTTTGTTTTTTTTTCTCTTCAATACAAAATAAATCCTCCTTTTTGTCTCTCATAACACCTTGGTTTACTTTTCCCTGAAATAATTACAAGTTATAATAATAGGTGAATGTTTAGTTGTATTTCAGTGCCTTGTCCCCTCATGAGTCTGTAAATGTCATAAAGGCAGTCACCACTATGTGTTCACCTAGAGCTTAACACTGCATCTAGCATACAGTTGGCATTTAGCAAATACTTGTTGTTTTTTTCAGATTTATTTATTTATGTATACAAGAGCTTGGGTACAGGCCAGAGGTGTGGAAGGTTAGAGGATTCACCAGAGACAGAGTAGGGAGCAGAATAGGCAGACTGACCGAAGTACACTGCTGAGGGGAGCAGCGGGCAAGTCAGGAGAGGTCTGCTGTGCCATGTGGATTGCTCCCTGCCCGGCCGGGGCTTGAACTTGTGCTGCAGTGGCTGCGGAGAGCTTCACAGGTTGCGTGTTAACCCCTTGCGCCACCAGGGAGGTCCAGCAAATACTTGTTAAATGAAATAATACACCAGTAATTCATTTATAGATTAGTTTACTAAATTAGTTACTTTCTAATTACTGTGCAATGTAGTTTTCTGATATTCCTGAGTGAAATGGTTTGAATCAAGTTTTTCCTCTTGTAGCAACCTGTCCCTCATCTCCCAAGGAGTCATTTATTTATTGAAACCAACTGAGAATTTTGTGGTTAGCAACTTGTAGGAAAATAGGTTTTCTGGTAGGTAAGACCTTTGAGGTTTTCTGGTAGGAAATGCAAAGTCCCCTAAAATGAAAAAGTCTGGAGACCTAACTTATAGTTCTTGTCTGGCCTCCAGACTGAGCAGTGTGGTTCTTAGGACCATAGAAGAACCCTGAGTCTCTGAGAGGGCCAACCTAGTGCACCTCTTTACCCAGCATCTGCAGTGAGAAGGCATGGATGGCCAACGCCTCAGAGTTTTTACTTTTTTTTAATCACTGACTATTACCTATTGAGTGAATAATGTGCCAGACATACACTAGACATCTTTAAACATGAGGAATATTTTTGCTTTATTTGGTTGAATGATAGAATTTAAAAATAACTGCAGTATGAGTCTGATCCCCAGCTAGGGAACGCACGCACATATGGGAACTCACCACAGATCTCTCCTGACTCGCCTGCT